TCCCCTCCTCACAGATGACTTTAGCTTGTGTCATGTTGACATAAAACTAGCCATAACAATTGACCCCTTGTCAGCTTGACACACCAATACACTATTTAACAATAACCTTTCCTTTTTGTTGTTTATTCCCAAGATCTCATATTAATACATATCATAATATAAACATGTTACAAACTTAAAAGTATCTTTATAAATTCAAGCACTTTAAAACTCCAGTTTATAAAGCATACAAAATCTCTTTTAAAATCAAAAGTAAAATCCAAAATTTTTTTAAAAGTTCAGTTACTCAACTATGGGCTATTATTATAGGGGGTCTCTGCAAATGCCACAGCCAGCAGAGTAACAATCCGCATGAGGCAAAAAGGAAATCTGGTTCAACAGGACATAGTTAGCCAGTGTTGGTTCAAACTTCTAGAGTCTGACCCAGGGCAGTTTATTTTAGACATATTTAAGTATAGTAAAATTTGGAAAAATGTTTCTTGGTATAACACAATCCTATGTGCACAAGGAGTCATAATTATACTGAAACTCTCCTCAAAGTGCAAGACTTCTTCCATGAAGATGGATTCTATAGATAGGCTACATGTGTTATCCTAGGGGAGGATCTGGTGTGGTCTCGGTCATACAGATAGCACAAAGGTCCTCTAGACTGTTAGCCACCTCAGTCCTGGTTGTGGGAGCATGAAGGAGACCCTGGCCATACAGATAACACAGAGGTTACTTAGACTATTAATTATCTCTGGTCCTGCTTGCGGGAGCCTGGGAGAGTCCCTGGCCCTACAGGTAATACAAGGGTCACCTAAGCTATTTGCTATCTCCATTCCCAGCCTTCTAGGCAGAAAACAGGTTATACATCTTTTCCCTTAAAAAGACAACCCTGTGTATTTAATGTTCCTGGCTTTCCTAGTACTATCCATGGAAGTAAGGACCTTTGTGTTCCCAACATCCCCTCCTTTCTAATTTTTTAAAGAAAAATAGTGGCTGTTATAGAGGCCAAGGTTGAATGCCTTGCCTGTATTGCTACTCTAATTAATATAGGCAAACATAAGAGAATTACACAGATCATTAATTTGACTATCAATAGTATGAGAAAAATCTAGCACATTAAAGCAACGCATACCAGGAAATTGTAGACAATCAAGATTATGTTTAAGTAGCAAATAATCTATAGTAGCTCTATTTTGTAAAACTGTGGCCCTCAGTTTGCCATCTCTTGATTAATTTCTGCTAATATTTTTTTTTCCTTACGTTGTCAACATGTCTGGTACAACTAAAACAGTGCCCTGGTAATGGTAGGTAAAAGAAAGGTACTTGTAAAATTAGAAAGCAATGTAATTTCCAGCCTAAACTCAAGTTTATTAAACACCACTGCATAGCTATCAAGAATACTTAGGTAATATTATCAAAACAGCTAACTGTGCAAATCATTATCAAGACACAGTTTCATCGGGGCAGAGGGATTAGATCATCTGAGGTCCCAGGAATGCCTCAAAGTGTTGATGCTGACTATGATGATGATGTTTACTCTCAGGAGTAAAATGGCTAAACTGAGGCCAAATGTTGAAAAGACTTAATTTTTATGTTATTATTCAGTTATGAAATAATTTGAAACATGATTTCAGGATTTCTGGTACTCCCTACTGACTAGTTTTCACGGTACTAGAAGGTACTCTGCTCTGTACCAGAGGAGAAAAGTAAACACCAACCCAGCTACAAACACTTGGATCTACAATGGTGACCTGCTACATGATATGCTGGTGTGATAGTGGCACACACATTGTAGAAACCACTATCTGACTGGATTTAAGTCCACTCCTTGAGATGCAGCCCATGCCTGACACTGCCCGGGTGGCCAAGAACCTGAGAGTAGACAGGCCATGGGTCTAGGGGAAAACCAAATACTATTGTTCTGCTAAAGAAACAGAGGAACAAAATGACTCCTAACTACATCCTGCTATACTCATAGACCAATGTCTTACTCAACCATCATCAGAAAAGCTTCCTCTTGCAGTAGATGGGGACAAATACAGAGATCCACAACTGGACACTGTGGAGAGAGTGAGAGAGTGAGAGAGTGAGAGAGTGAGAGAGAGAGAGAGAGAGAGAGAGAGAGAGAGAGAGAGAGAGAGAGAGAGAGAGAGAGAGAGAGAGGTTGGAACACTAAGTCCTATATGAGATGTCTCCATCAAACCCCTCCCCTCAGGGGTCAGGGAGCTATGAGGAAAGATTGTGAGAGCCAGTAAGGATGGAGGACACCAAGGCCTTTTAGACGAAACAGGACTGACGCACATATGAACTCACAGAATCTGTGGCAACATGCACAGGGCCTGCACCGGTCCAAGCTGGCTAAGGTCCGAGCACTTAGAAAGGAAGGAGACATGAGCACCCATCCCTAACCAAGAAGCTATCTCCAAATGACAACTGCTTACAAAGGGAAACTTAGTTTTCTCTGATGGTGTCTCACTGGGTATACGAATCACATTTAAGGGCAGGCCCATGCCCAGCACTAGGTGGCCAACACAGAATGAACTCATTGGTATTTTTGGAGTTTTGTTTCTATTTTGTAATACTTTGTCTGGGCCTTTTACTTTAAAACTTACTAGTCTTTTGCTTATATAATATGGTTTCTGAAGTTTGTTTTCATGGATCCTCTCTCTCTCTCTCTCTCTCTCTCTCTCTCTCTCTCTCTCTCTCTGTGTGTGTGTGTGTGTGTGTGTGTGTGTGTGTGTGTGTGTGTGTGTGTGTGTGTGTGTTTCTTGTGTTCCTTCTTTGTTACTTGTTATTTCTATTCTGGTTTGTATATTTTATTTGCCTGTTTGTTTTTGAAAAGAGAAAGAATGTGTGGAGTGGGGTGGGTGGGGAGGTAGGGAGGATCTGGGAGAAGATGAAGGAGGGAAACTATGATCAGAATATATTGTTTGAAAAAAATCTATTTTCAATTAAAAAAAAAAAACGTCCTGGTGACCTGCCATTCAACATAGAGAAAAAGTGGATCATGTCTCCTTATTAGACTTTGTTTGGTTTGAGATTTTTGTTTGTTTATTGCCATTATTGTTTTTGAGACAGGGTCTCTCTACGTAGCCCTGGCTGTCCTGGAACTCGCTCTGTAGACCAGGCTGACTTTGAACTCACAGAGATCCGCCTGCCTCTGTCTCCCACTGCTGGGACTAAAGGTGTGTGCCACCATGCCCAGCTTCTTTACTACACTATAGAATCCTGTCTTTCCAGGGACAAATATCCTTTGGTTCACAACACGACTTATTCATGTCATTACTTTCTGATGGCACTCATATCTGTGAGCAACTACTTTGAAGAATGAAATTCAGCAAGAGTAAAATTAAAACCAAAATACAGGCTAAGCAGCCGCAGCTACAAGCACCGGTGAGTTCATCCTGCAAATTCGACATCAATATCCCACTAGTTTTATTATTCTTTTTTCACTTTTATAGCAAAAAAATAAAAATTGATGAAGTTGTGTTACTTAGGTGTAGTCGTTTTACTAATTGATCTCAAACTTGGGACCTGCTCAGCAATTAAAAAGACTCTCTAAAATTTAGAATCTAAATGGAGCACCATATAATTATGACTATTACATGAGGAAACGTTTGCTTATCTGTGGAGGCAGATATCATAAAATTATACACGAACTTTTTCTCACCAGCTTTTATTGGTGTTTCTGTGTTTAATATGTGGTCCAAAATAATCCTTTACTCAACATGGCCCATGAGAAGCCAAAAAGTGGATTACCACTTCCTAGATCTAGATGTCACTTATGCTGTTTCCTTTGCTGCTATGACTGTGGGCCAAGGTTTCCCATAGGTCACCTTCTTAACACCTTTGCTTCAAGACATCAATGACCACATAAGTCCAAGAGAAAATAACTATACCCCACTCCACCTTTTCTTCCAGTTTTTACATTTTCCTGCTCTTCTGCAGGGTTTCCTGAACCTTGAGGGTTTGATATGCATGTATGATTATGTTTTTCTCTGACATTGGGATGCTGTGCCAAATCAATAATGAAGACCACCATAACAGCCACTTGCTCCTAGTGCTTTGACCAGGTAGACACCAACTGTAACAAGAACTTCTCAAGGCTGAAAGCAGCAACGGTACATGGGTATGAGCACAAATGTTTAGAGGGCAATCTAATAGGGACCATCATTTCCATCTAACCAAACAACAGACTTCTCACTGGGACCCAAGTCTTTCCAAGACACAGGATTTTGCCCTGTTTTACAAGAGGAAGAATGTGGTGCCTCCTGTGAAGGGGGCTTTAATCCTATTGAAAAACTTGGTTGTACCTTCAAGAGTTGTATCACTACAAGGTCACTGGGCACATCTTACCTGGCATGGTGCTAGCCTGACAGGTAGATTCCATAGCTAAGCAAGACGTTGGTGACAGTTTGGCAGCTTATAGAGCCCCTTCCAGCATTAGGAATTCCAGCCAGTTAGAGCTCAGGAGCCCCTTGATTTCTCCACTTCCTACAACTAAAATACGAGGGTGTTCGGTAACAGAGGCTTTTGAGAAAAATTGTTTCTTAGACAAAGACATAGGGAAAGAAATGCAGAAATAAAAGAGATGCAAGATTCTCTCTAGACCTGCCCAGCCCAATACAAAAGCCATTAAAACAGGCTTAGTAAATATTAAATGCAGCTAATCCAGTGACTAATTTTCTTTTTCTAAATGTATTTTTATTTCTTGTGCACTGATATTTTGCCAGGATTTATGTCTGTGTGAGGGTGTTGGATCCCCTGGAACTAGAGTTACAGATAGTTGTGAACTTCCATGTGGGTGCTGGGAACTGAACCTGGGTACTCTGGAAGAACAGATAGTGCTCTTAGCCACTGAGCCATCTCTCCAGCCCCTAAACTAATTTTCTAATTTTAATTAAGTGTAAAAATGGACACCTCACTTGATTATTATGAAAAGTTTTAAGTATGTTCCAAAGTATTTGACTATATGCATACATTCTCTACAGTATAGTTTATGAACTCCAAGTACAGAGTCTATCTAATAAAAGCATAGCATCTGAATTGGCATGTGTTTATAAGTCTAAATTATACACGAGATTTTGGAGCTTTAATACGAACAGAAACAATACAAATATTTGGCACCTTGTCAGACTCTAACAACTTGGTTAAATTACTGAAGTTAATTTAAATGGATCTTTTAGAGGAGTGATGAGAACATTCAAACTGTGTGCATGGCTTGTTTTGCATTTGGACAAGCTTCTCCAGATCAGTGCAACAGCCTGTGTGTGTTTCCAGGAAGACTCAGCATCCACCAAGGGTCCTAAGTCTCAGGAGGGTAAGGACCAAGCTCCTAGATGGAGCTCAGAAGATCAGTTCTAGTCCTTTCCAGGCTCTGGAGACTGCCCTTACATCCTTCCCCAGGAAGATAACTGACACTCTGACAGATCACTGACTGTCTCTCTAAGATGGCGCCCACAACCTTGCTTCAGATGTTCATTTGTGGTCATTTTGGAGCAGACTTTTACATGATGGTTCTGGAAACCTCAGCATCTTGACAAGGGCTAGCATTGCTGAGAAATGTTGCAATTTGAGAACTACAGCAGCAGAATGAGTCCTTGTCTGTACTCAGGCTCTCTGCAAGAAAGTCTTGAGAGAGAGAGAGAGAGAGAGAGAGAGAGAGAGAGAGAGAGAGAGAGAGAGAGTGTTGGGGGTGGGTATAAGAAAGCTGTGAAACTGATGCACATCTAACTAAAATCTAAAAGTCACTACAGTGACTGGAAGTGCTGGATGTAAAGGGATCTGGAGGCTGGAGAGATGGCTCAGGGGATAAACTGTTTGCCATACAAGCATTAGGACCTGAACTTAACCCCCAGCACCCATGTCAAAGCCTGTAATCCAGTACTAAGCATCAGAGACAGGAGCACCCCAGGGGCTTGCTGGCTAGCTGATCTAGCCAAAGTAGGAAGCATAGAACAATTGAGGAAGACACTCAACACTGACCTCTGGCCCCATGGGAACATGCACACATGTGTGAATACACACTGACACACACAAAGTATTAGAGATATTACAAATAAATAAGAAACAAGGAAATTAGAATGATTTAGTTTTAAATCACTTCAAAAGTTGGCAAAATATTCAAATACACATGAGAAGTTTGCGGTGTGTTAGTTGTTCACCACATTGAGAACAGTCTTCTCTGTGGACAAAAGGCAGCGCATACCACAGTGGCTTCATAGATCAGCATCTAGAAACATCTCTTTAAACTATGCACAGGCTAGAGGAAAGCAATTTCCCTTCACTGCTCTGTGATGGGTCATTTCTGAGTTTCCATCAGAAAGCTAGACATTACAGTCATCTTTTTCTTCCATACAGTGTACACCAGTGTCCAGACTTATGAGACTAGAAATTCATAACCAAGAAAGAAGATGTCAGTGTGGGTAAGAATTAGAAGAGAAGCTGGGGTTGCATATCAAGTTTTAAAAGTACATTCAAAATAATCAAATTTGGTCATGAAGGCTGATAGGCTATAAAATTTCAAATAATACTAAAGAAATGTAGGTTGATGTTGGTTCTTGTTTTTTGTTTTCTATTTAATTGGAAGGATTTTTTCTCAGTGTCTCAGCATGTAGCTCAGCTGGCCTCAAACTTGAAATCCTCCTGCCTCAGACTTTTGAGGTTGAGATTACAGGTGTAGTCACTATACCTGGCTGATTTTTTTTCCTTTCCTTTTGTTTTCTTGAGACAAGGTTTCTCTGTCCTGGAACTCACTCTGTAGACCAGGCTGGCCTTGAACCCAGAGATCCTCTGGCCTCTGCCCCGCCCTGCTCCAAATGCTGGGATTAAAGGTGTGTACCACCACCACCTAGCCAATGTTGATTCTTAAAAGAGATGATAAAACATTTGAGGGTTCTTCTCAGATATCCTGAGAGCAGAGTGGAGCAGTATGAGATTGTTGGCCCTAAGTCAGTCATAATTCTAGGAATTCTTGGCACTGGAGGTCTTTGCACTGGGAGAAACATTGACATGCCTTTCTTTGCAAAAGGATCTACTGGGTTCTTTTTAAAATTATATTGTTTATTCTTTGAACACTCCATACAGTAGTACAATGCATATTGATCACATCCATCTGCCTGCCTCTAATTATCCCTAATGTCCTCCCACCCCATCTCCCTCCTAGCTTCACGGCCTCTTTTCATTTATTTTTTGCTATTAGTAATATCCCAAGTCTAACTAGTACCGCCCATATGCACATGGGTATGTAGTATCCACTGGGGCATGAACAACTACTACTAGAGGCTGAAGGAGAATGATTCTCCCTACCTCATCAGCTACTGATGGCCAATAGCTCCACCAATAGGGGTGAGCCTCAGGAGTTCCCTTCCATCCATGCTTGAATTTTGACCGACTTGATCTTGTAGCTACGAATGCTGTGAGTTGGATGCCTGTAAAGGCCATGTCATGTCTAGAAAACAGCATTTCCTAGCACTCACTCACCCTCCTCTCCAACTCTTAGACTCTTTCTGCCCTCTCTTCTGGGGCTCTCCCTGAGCCTTGGATGGTGGGAGGTAAATAAGATGACTCACCCAGAGCTGAGCCTCCCAGTCACTTACTCTGCACTTGACCAGCTCTAAGTCTTTGCACTAATTGCTACCCACTGCAGAAAGGAGCTTTTCTGACCAGTTGTAAGCAGCTCAAATCTACTGATTCCCCTTTTAAAATATATTTTATTAATTCTTTGAGAATTTTATACAATATGTTCTGATCATATTCATTCCCCGCTCTTGCTCCTAACCCTTTCCAGATCCATACTTCCCTCCCTACTGAGTTCTTTAATCATGACAAGTTTGGAATTCTAATTTTACAAAAGCCAAGTAGGACTTCCCTTGCCCATCGTGAGCATGCCTTCCCTTATTACTAAAAGTAAGGGTACTGGGGAGGTAACAGTGTATCGGATCTGTTGATCTTACAAGGCAGAAAAATGTTCCTAAGGCTTAAAAAAAAAAACACTTTTCATCCACAAGAAAGGCAGCAGCAATCTTTTTTCCTCCCTTGCTTTCTTCCTTTTCCTTTTCTTTTTTTCTTCTTTTCTTTTTCTCTCTTTCTTTCATCATTCTTTGCAAACCAAGAAGAATCAATAATAGCAAAAGGCCAGACTACATAAAATCTTGAATAATCTCTTCATATTACCACCTCATGTTGCCTCAAAAATTCCTGGGCCCAATGGAGCAGCAGAGTTGAAGATTAGGGACACGTTGGAAATTTCCTTAACCTGTTGACTGCAGTCACCACGTGGAAATGTTTCTTGAAGTAAAGGAGGGAGGGGAATAAAAGAAGAAAGATGTATCTTTAGATTGAGTGCTTAAGAGGAAATGATGAAAAAACTTAGACAAGTCTAGACTTGTAGGCATATTCAAAACTGGTACTCCAGTAGTAAGTGAGTCTCTGACTCTTGTGCCGTCTCTTGGGCTCTTTTCCTTCTGTTTGTTTTGTCCAATTTCAATGTGTTAGTCCTTGTTTTGTCTTATCTTATCTTATCTTATCTTATCTTATATTACATTATATTATTATCCCTTAGAAGCCTGTTTGTTTCTAACGAGAGACAGAAAGGGAGTGGATCCAGAAGGGAGGGGAGGTGGGGAGGGACTGGGAGGAGAAGAGGGAGGGGAAACCATAATCAGAATATATTATGTGAAAGAAAAAAAATCTATTTTCAGCAAAAGGAAAAACAAATAAAATTGGTACTCTAAAGGAGGCCAGGTTTTCAGAATAGTCAACAGTCACATTCTGGGCCATGATTGAGAAGAAAATTATTCTGTCCTTTCAAGCAGAAAATAGAGCTCTCTGGAACACGTTTTCAAAATTGTGACTCCTAAATCACCAACAGGCCATCAAATCCAACCTGTGCAGCTTTTTTTTTTTTTTTAAGCAAATGGCACAGAACAGAAAATAGGCTGTCCTACACTGTTGGAGTAGTGTAAAACAAACATTTTACACATGGCTGTGTGCATATTTATGCTTAAGGTCTGACTCCAGGGAAAGGGATTCTGCTTTCATTGTCTATTTCTAAGTTGGGGGAGGGAGTTTTGTGGGGGCTTCTTGTTGTTTGTTTGTTTGTTTGTTTGTTAGATGCTGAGATTTGAACTAAGAGCCTCAGACATGCCGAGCCCAGCACAAAATCCTGTTGTTTTTCCCCATGGGGATCTAAGTCAACAACACCACTTTGGGAAGCTAGTTCCCTGGAAAACAACTGCTGTTAAGATAGGTTCTGTGTCAATGGTAACAAACAGATCTGTGGTGAATAACACTTAAAATACGGCTTTCCCATCTCACATTTCTGAAATGTGATAGGATCAAGCCTCAAGCTGCACACAGCTAAGCCAGGATCCTCCCTACTATCACTGCTGAGAATATGCACTTAATTTCATCCTGGTACTTCAAGAATTCAGATAACTAAGGGCTAACATCACTTTTATACCAGTGATTTCTTTTCTTTTCTTTTTTTTTTTTTTTTTTTTGGTTTTTTGAGACAGGGTTTCTCTGTGTAGCTTTGCGCCTTTCCTGTAACTCGCTTTGGAGACCAGGCTGGCCTTGAACTCACAGAGATCTGCCTGCCTCTGCCTCCCAAGTGCTGGGATTAAAGGCGGGTGTCCATCACCACCTGGCACCAGTGATTTCTAATCTGTAGCATTTTCATTTGTTTTTTTGTTTGTCTTGGAATCTGGTCTCACTATGTAACCCTGGCTGTCCTGGAACTTGATATATAGACTACGCTAGCCTTGAACTCAGTGATCTGCCTGCCTCTTGCTCTGCCTCTCAGACTGTTGAGATTAAAGGCGTGCACCATCAGGCCCAGCCCTGTGGCATCTTTTAATCCAGCTAGCATCTATGACAGGAGAGAAAAGTTTTCCCTTTAAATAATCCTTATACTTAGAATCCATGTATTAGTTAAAACTTGGCTGTAATTCTTTCAAAGGACAGAAGACAAAATACCTTCCATTTACTCTGGGCCATATATTTCTGCAGCAACAGTTGGGATCTGAGACGAACATTGGATCCCGAGGCTTTGGCGGGCAGATGGTTTAACCACTCATGTTTCAGACACTGTGTGGCGCTCATCCTGCAGCTGTGGAGTCAAACACAGTAGAAACTTTGAAATGCACTAACCTTTTAGAGTTGTCCAAAAGTCTGTTCTGTTGGATAGGAGGTCTGAGTCAATGGAACAGGTTCATCACTCAGGCAGATTCACACCATGCGCCCAACACACCCCTCCTTACAAGAGCCAGGAAGCTGTCAGGGGAAGTGTCCTGACATCCTGGTAAGCTTTCATCCAGCTGACTCACACCACCTCCCGAGGGCTGGGAAGCTAAGGCAGAGCAAAGGAAAGCCTGCTTGGATTGCTTTTAGGAGAATGTGATGCTTGAACAAAACCCATTTCTCCTGGCAGAGTCTTTAAAGCATCAGCCAGCTCATCTGCATTATAGGTTTGGGGTTTTCACCTAGAAAGTTTTTACAGCAGGAAACTCTGAAGATCAGAGAGCAGTGAGCTTTCCTAAAGACTGGACTCTTGGACCTTTCTCCTGGGAGTGTACTTTTGTTGTCATTGGTTTTTTTCAATTATTTTATGTCTGAGTATCAAAAAACTCAATGGCTCAATCTATGACCTTGGTTGAGCTGTTTGTGCTCGCTAATTTTAAGTCAACTTGACACAAGCAAAGGTCATCTGAGAGGAGGAGGATCCTCAACTGAGAAAATGCCTTCATAAGATGGGGCTGTAGGCAAACCTGTAGAGCATTTTGTTGATTAGTGATTAATGGAGGAGGGCCTAGCCCATTGTGGGTGATGTCATCCCTTGGTTGGTGGTCCTGAGTTCTATAAGAAAACAGACTGAGCAAGTCATGAGGAGCAAGCCAATAAGTAGCACTCCTCCATGGTCTCGGCATCAGCTCTGGCCTCCAGGTTCCTGCCCTGCTTGAGTGTTCTACCCTCACTGCTTTGGATAACAAACTGTTACATGGAACTGTGAGTGAAATAAACCCTTTCTTACCCAAATTTGTTTTTGGTCATGGTGTTTCATCACAACAGTAGTCACCCTAAGGTACTGCTGAAATCTAAAAAGGCCTTTGTGGCCAAGAAATGAAGTACTCAGACTTATATTCTGAAGGATGACATCTTCATATATTGTTGTGAAATATTAGTTTAACTATGTAAAGATGTGTTGCATTTGTTTATGTTGTGGAATATTAGTTTAATTACATAAATATGTGTTGCATTTGTTTATGTTATAGAATATTAGTTTAATTATGTAAAGATGTGTTACATTTGTTTACAGAATATTTGTTTAACTATGTAAAGATGTGTGTATTTGTTTACCTTGCCTGCCTAAGGCACCTGATTGGTCTAATAAAAAGCTAAATGGCCAATAGCTAGGCAGGAGGTATAAGTGGGACTTCTAGGCAAAGAGAGTAAGTAGGAGGAGGAATCTAGGCCTGAGAGAGACAGAGGGAAACAGAAAGAAAAAAAGATATGGGGGATATGCCAGGTACCAACCAGACAGACATAGAGGAAGCAAGATAGTAGGATACACAGAATGAAAAAAAGGTAAAAAGCCCCAAGGCAAAATATAGATGACTAGAAGCAGGTTAAATTAACTTAAAAGAGCTAGTAGGACAAGCCTAAGCTAAGGCCGAGCATTTGTAATTAATAGTAAGTCTCTAGTGCCATTATTATGGAGCTGGCTGGTGGGACAGAGAAAGAGCTAGACTATAATATCTCAACTTTCTTTTCAACATTAGCTTATTGTAAGTAGTAACTTGGAAATAGGACTCACTTGTAATATATACCTCTGTCTAAGACTCTGTCTTGCCTAGTTGTTTTTAGAGTAATTCCCTTTGTCCTGCTGCTGTCCCTTTTAATGTCCCACCAAGTAATGGACTAAGAAATCCCCCAAGAAGAAAGAATTCAGCATCCCAGCTCAGCACGCAGATCAGGGTCCATTATAATGGCCACCAAGTGACCAGCAACTAAAAATACCTCTTCTCTTTGACCAGCAACCGGGAAACAAAGTCCTTGGCTTCCTCTGACAGTCCTTTGAAGGTATCAGCATCGAAATCCCAGCTACAGTTCACAATAAAATTCATGGTCTCTGCATCTGTTTCCCCTAGAAATGGGGACAAACCACTGAGTCTGCAGAGGAGAGAAAGGACCATGAGTGTGTCACAAGCTCAGTGTATCACATGCTCTACTTCTAGTACTTCTTCATTGCATATGGCTCCACATGTTCACGTGAAGGAGGTGGATGGGGAGAGGATGTTCTCAACAATCTATAACATGCAACCCTTCCCTTATCTCTAAGTAACTGTAAAATGGAGTCTAATACAATGTGTCCATTTATCAAGTATGTGGTTATTTTTGTTGTTGTCTTTGTTTTTTGAGACTGTGTCTCTCTAGTTAGCCTTGGCCATCCTGTAACTCACTATGTGGACCAGGCTATCCTTGAACTCACAGAGATCTGCCTGCCTATGTCTCCTGAGTGTTGGGATTAAAGGTGTGCACCACCATGCCAAGTATGTGTATTTATTTAAAAATAGCTTTCTATTTCTCTGGGACAGCCAGGCTCTAATAGATATTATTGTCCTTCAAGCCAATGAAATATTGGCTTTACTATGCTCAGGCTAAGGCAGGGAGAAAGATAATCTAACTGACTGACTTTAAGACGTCAAGCTTCCCTAGCCTGGTACAGCGGACACAAAGTGCAGGAACATATGGTACAGGACAGTAAGAATAAGATAAGAAGCCAAACATGATATTGGCCCCTGTATTAGTTAGCTTTAGCTGTCAGCTTGACACAGCCCAGAGTCACCTGAAAAGGGAATCTCAATTGAGTGACCCCCCAGATCAGATTGGCCTGTAGGGACTGTCTTGATTGTTAAATTGATGTAGGAGGACCCCGCCCACTATGGACAGTACCATTCCCCAGGCTAGAAAAGAAAGCTAGCTAAGCGTAGGTGTATGAAGCAGCATTCCTCTACGGTTTCTGCCTTGAGCTCCTTCCCTGACTTCTCTCAGTGTTGGCAGTAATCTGAAACTCTGTCCTCCCCTAAATTGTGTCCATCTGAGTTTTATCACAGCAACAAGAATGAAACCAGATAAGGCTTAAGGAAAAGCTAAGAAAATCTAGTCAGAGAGAGAAAAGAGGCTACTCTGTGTCAGAAGTGACACAGTTACACAATCCTGTAATGCACACCTTCCCTGGCCGGTACACAGCACATGCATTTCTTTGCTTGACATCTTTCCAACTGAAGCTTCTTTTCACTACCTAGAAATATCAGGAAATTAACTCAGGCCCCACACTTAAGAACAACCCACAAATAAGAACTAGTAAGAGCAGAGACAGGCAGATCTCTGTGAGTTTGAGGCCAGCCTGGGCTACTGAGTGAGATCTAGGAAAGGCTCCAAAGCTTCACAGAGAAACCCTGTCTCAAAAAACCAAAAAAAAAAAAAAAAAACCAAAAAACCAAAAACAAACAAACAAACAAAAAAACTAGTAAGAGCTGTGGTTGTAAACATTCAACTCTTTTACTCCTCTGATAAAATAGCTTTGAGGGGTGTCCCACAATGGATTCAAGAGCTTCCCAACCTTGCACAGGTGTACTTTACTTCTGTGCTATTGATACATTGAGTCACTTTTAGTTGTTAATGTTAGATCTCAAAGAAACCCAGGAGAAGCCTCACTCTGTGCCTGTGGCCCCTCCCAGCACCTCTCACCTCACCCCTACCCTAAACCTCCTCCTCCCAGGGGCTGGGCTTTGCTTCTCCCAGCTTCCCTTCCTTATATAACTCAGCCATTTTGACTGAAGCTCTCTTGGCTCCGTTCCTTGCTCCTGGTTCTCCTCTTGGCTCTCTTGGTTTGCTCTTGGCCTCTTGGTGCACAGCTCCTCTCTCTCTCTCTCTCTCTCTCTCTCTCTCTCTCTCTCTCTCTCTCTCTCTCTCTCTCTGTCTCTCTCTCTCTCTCTCTCTCTCTCTCTTTTAATTTAAGCAAGCTTTTATTAAAAATACTAAATACTGACCAAGATGGAATATGGCAAGGATCATCATCAACTGGAAACTTTCCAGGTTGGTCCTAAGACACTGTTGGTAGAGCTTAATATGGGCAAAACCCACAGGTCACCATACTTTCCCATGAGGCTTTGTTGTCAGTTTCCAAGAACTACAATTCCTAGAATCTCAGGAAGTTACCTGGTCCTTGGGCAGGTGGGGCTTAATTTTGAATCTAACATTGACTAAGACCATCTGAATATCAGATATTTATATTACAATTCATAACAGTAGCAAAATTACAGTTATGAGTAGCAACAAAAATAATTATATGCACAGCTCCTCTCTTGATCCACTTCCCCCTCCTTTCCTCTCTCCCCTGCCACCCACACCCCCCCCCACAACAGTCCAGTTCAGTCTGGACCCTTCCAGGTGCCTCTGGCTGTTCTCTTCCTCATATCTACATTAAAACCCTTTTCCTCAACCATTCCTAGCAATGGTCAAGCCTCATTTTCATTCTTCTAGTGCCTAAACCACAGGAATGGCATAAATGAGATCCCTTCCATGGGACTTGGCCTCTCCAGACCAAGCTGCTGACCAGACTCTCCCGAGGTATGTAGGATCATTTGTTTCTGCCAGCTTCTGCCATCCACCAGATTTGACTCCAAATTCTAGTCCTCCTCTTCATAGCTTCTTCCTTCTACTTGCTCTAACCATCCGCCTTTCCTCACCTGCTCAGTAAGTGGCCTCTCTCTGGCTCCTGGAGCCTTCTAAATCCTCATCTCTCTACTAAGAAGCCTCCTACGCCCCCAGGGCCCCACCATGTAAGCACCCCTTACACATCATCTCCCTCTATCAGAACCCTCCCTTTTCCCAGAGGCCTCTGCCAATGCACCTCCCCAGCTGTTTATCCTCTACCCGCTCTAACCGCTCATCTCTCCTCTTCTACTGGGTGTTACCCCGGAGCTGCCTGCTTTGTCTACTATTACTACAAAAGCCTCACCAGTGTGCCAGGAAGCTCCTCTCGCCCTACTCGGCCCCTCTCACGTGGAAAGGGACACCTCTGCTCTGTGTTGGGACATTTCTCTCTGACACGCCTCTCAGTGTGCCTGGGGATCCCCTGGATTGAAATTCTTGTCACCACAACACTTACCTTCTCTGCTCTCTTCATGGTCAGCTCTTTCCTGGGAGCATCCTTGCCTCCCCTGAGGAGCCGAAGTCCCTCAGCTTCTCTACACCCTTGTGGCCTCTATGAGTCTTCCCGCAGGCAAAGTTCCTATTGTGAACCCTGTTTCTCATGGCTACACTGTTCTCATCTCTCAGCTCCCTCTTGGAGCTTAGAGGAACCCTCTCTTTGGTGGAGTTCATTTTTCAACTCTCTCTCCTTTCATTCTCGGACTCAGAGATTTTATTAAAACCTCACTGTCTTGCTGCAAATGGTGTGGTCTCAGTGATAGGAATTCCAGCCATGCCCCCATGATCACACATGCCACTTAGTCATTTCCACATAGCCATTTCTGGGTCATACATGCTATGTAACCCACACTCTGCGTGGTCACATAAATTGTGCACGGCGTGACCACATGATCTATGCACATGCATGGAGTACCCACGTGGAGTAGCCACATGGGCCTTTGTGTGTATGCATAAGATGATCCTTAAAAGGCAGGCCCCGGGTGGTGTTGGCACACGCTTTTAAACCCAGCACTCAGGAGGCAGAGGCAGGCGGATCTCTGTGAGTTCGAGGCCTGCCTGGGCTACAGAGTGAGTTCCAGGAAAGGCTCCAAAGCTACACAGAGAGGACCCTGTCTTAAAAAACAGAAAAAAAAAAAGGGCAGGCCCCATGTCTCCCTTCCCCCTTCCCTCACGCATCCTTTCACAGGCCTGAACACAGCTATCCCTTCTCCCTTCCTTAATAAAACTCTTGCTAGTGGGTTCTGTCATGTTTCGTGACTTTTCCTCGCAGGGTAAGAGTGCCGCTAAATGGAGAGGATGTGGTGCTAGGGGAACTCTCCTCCACTGCTGGTGGGAATGCAAGCTTGTACAACCACTTTGGAAATCAATATGGCGCTTTCTTAGAAAATTGGGAATCAATCTCCCCCAAGATCCAGCTATACCACTCTTGGGCATATACCCAAGGAATGCTCAACCACACCATAAGAGAACTTGTTCAGCTATGTTCATATCAGCATTGTTTGTAATAGCCAGAACATGGAAACAACCTAGATGCCCTTCAACTGAAGAATGGATAAACAAAATGTGGTACATATACACAATGGAATACTACTCAGCAGAGAAAAACAATGACATCATGAGGTTTGCAGACAAATGGATGGATCTAGAAAAAATCATCCTGAGTGAGGTAACCCAGACTCAGAAAAACAAACATGGTATGTACTCACTCATAGCAGGATACTAGACATGAAACAAGGATGACTTGTCTGCTACTCACATCACCAGGGAGGCTACCTGGAAAACAGGACCCCAAGAAAGACACAGGGATCGCCCAATGACAGAGAAATGGAATGAGATCTACATGAACAGCCTGGACATGAGTGGGGGTAATGAAAGGCGAGGGTCGAGGGAAAGAGAGCTTGGGGGAGCGGGAGATCCCAGCTGGATCAACAACAGAGAGGGAGAACAAGGAATAGGAGACCATGGTAAATGAAGACCACATGAGAATAGGAAGAAGCAAAGTGCTAGAGAGACCCACAGAAATCCACAAAGATACCCACACAACAGACTGCCGGTAATGGTCGAGAGACAGCCCGAACTGACCTACTCTGGTGATGGGATGGCCAAACACCCTAATTGTTGTGCTAGAAACCTCATCCAACTACTGAGGGATCTGGATGCAGAGATCCATGACTAGGCCCCGGGTGGATCTCTGGGAGTCCAATTAGCGAGAATGAGGAGGGTTTATATGAGTGAGAATTGTTGAGACCAAGGTTGGATAAAGCACAGGGACAAATAGCCAAATGAATGGAAACACATGAACTATGAACCAATGGCTGAGAGGTCCCCACTGGATCAGGCCCTCTGAATGGGTGAGACAGTTGATTGGCTTGATCTGTTTGGGAGGCAGCCAGGCAGTGGGACCAGATCTTGTGCTCATTGCATGAGTTGGCTTTTTGGAACCTGGGGCCTAT